TACAAAATCTACACACAGAAATCCAGAAGATTAATACTAAATTTTCAGAAATAGATAAGACATTGAATGGACAAAGGAGCAGAACTGAATCGATGGAAGACAGAATTAGTGAGATTGAAGGCAAATACCTGAATACTTCTTTGGAAAGGGATCAATCAGAAAAAAGATCAAAACAAAATGAAGAAAGCGTAAGGTTCACATGGGATACCATCAAAAGGAATAACCTACGTGTAATCAGAATTCTGGAAGAGGAAGAGACAAATAAAACCACTGAGAATTGTTGAAGATTTGTTGGCAATTTTCCTGGTATGTTGAAAGATAAGAATATATCCATTCAGGAAGTCCAACAAACCCCAAACAGGATAGATCCCAAAAGAAAATCACCAAGACATATCATTATCAAACTTACCAAAACCCAAAGACAGAATCATGAGAGCAGCATGTGAAAAACAAAAGGTTACCTACAAGGGGCAACCAATAAGACTAAGCTCAGATTTCTTGACAGAAATCACGCAGGCAAGAGGACAATGGGATGGTATATATAAAACACTGAAAGAGAAAAATTTCCAACGAAGAATTATGTACCCAGCAAATTGTCCCTCAAATATGATGATGAAATTAGGACATTTCCAAATAAGCAGAAATTAAGGGAATTTGTTAAAACCAGACCAACCTTACAAGAGATGCTAAAGGGAATCCTTTGGACAGAGAAGCAACAACAGCTAGCAACAACTGACCATTAACACACATGATGTAACCCAGAAACCAACCCAGCTATAGAAGTATCCAAAGTAAACAAGCCTACAAGATTGTAAACAGGGAACCAGAGACATCAATTGACAAATGAGGATAACTACAAACCAAAAATTGTGTCATTACAGAACTTGTAGATGGTAGGGAAGTCAAGACAACTACAAGATAGAACAGACTGTTCTAAACTTGAGAAGAAAACTATAAATTACAGGGTAACCTCAAAGGAAAATGATAAACCTTCGTGTCAAAAATAGACCAGCGTAAATATTCAGCAAATACTAAAACAATAGCAATGAAGGAAGTGATAACACAATTCATAAACAAAATGAGCCCAGCATAGAAATTATATGGAACAAAGAAAGCAACACCACGAAAAAGCACATAACAAAAATGACAGCAACAAATCATATTTGCCAATAATTACATATCTGGCAAGGGACTTATCTCTAAGATTTATAGCAGAAGAGTGGATGACAAAACTATGGTATACATATAATGGAATGCTATGTAGCACAAAAGAATAATATAGAGTCTACAAAACACCATATAATATGGATGAACTTGGAGGACATTATGCTGAGTGACATAAGTCAATCACAGAAGGACAAATATAATATTAGTTTGTTGTTGTGGAGGGTCAAGGAAAGGTTTATATATGGAGGGAAACTTTCTTTGTTGGTTGCCAGGGGTAGGAGAGGAGGGGAACACTGCCAAAAAAAAAAAAAATGCATTGACCCATGTCACCTTAGTTTTTTTTATTTCACTGTACATAAATTATATTTCAATAAAATGCATTTTAAAGAATAAACTAGTAACTTTTTTTCATTTGTAGCATTTCATGAAACTTACGTGATTTGTCTATTATACAATACTTTTATTGAGCTAAATTGTGTTTCCAGAACATCCTTACATTACCTTTTTATAGATTCAATGCAAGAATTGGCTCATAGATCATAAGTATTTGGTGTGTGGTTAAATTTTAGGCTATGAATCAGTTTTATCTTAAAAAAATGAATTTTGCAATAGGAAAAATGTTGTTGTCATTGTTGTTGTTATGTGCTGTCAAGTTGGATCCGACTCATAGTGACCCCTCCTTGGGTTTCCAAGGCACTATCATTACGGAAGTAGATTGCCCCATCTTCCTTCCAAGGAGTGGCTGGTGGGTTTGAACCGCCAGCCTTCTGGTTAGCAGTCAAGTGCTTTAGGCACTACGCTACCAGAGCTCCCAGGAAAAATGTGAACATAAATAAAAGATTTTTCCTTGATACTTCTGCATATATAACTATTTAAGTAACCATGTTTTTTCCCAAAAAAAATTACGTTTTTATGATTTCACCTATTTAAAAAAATTCAGCATATGAGATAAATTAAAATGCTGATATCCAGCTTATCAGAAATTGTCCGATTTTAAATAAATGCCTGTTATATTATATCTTTGAAAAACTTGCATAACCCTGCCTCAATAAATTACTTCAACTTAGGTGTAGCTTTGCCATAAAAATCTTGGGAACTAATGGTCTAGATAGTGGAATTTTGCTTCAAACACTTGAACAGCCTTACATTATTTATCATTTATTAAAATAGTTAAGGACAGTTTATAGTTAATTACTCTGTGCTTCATTTTAGTTTCATTTCTCCCTTATCATTTTAGTATGCCTTCAAGACAGTGTTTTGGCTTTCTGGAAACATGGGATGCAGGGTAAAAGCTTCAAGTCAGATGAGGTAAGGTTTGTCAGCCTGCAGTTATTCCTACTAAAGATTTTAAATATTAATATGCTAATTTTAGGAGCTCTGGTGGTGTAGTGCCTACGGCATTTGTTTGTTAACCAGAAGGATGGCAGTTCAAATCCACCAGCCACTCCTTGAAAGGAAGATTAGACAGTCTATTTCTGTAGAGATACCACCTCGGAAACCCAAGGAGGGGTCACTATGATTTATTCATTTTCTCTATGAACTTCATTACTATGTTTAGTGACCTTAATATTATGAACTGGTAGAGCAAAAGAACTAGTATTTTTCTTCAAATATGTTTTGTATTGTATTTTTAAATTTTCATGGCCATAAGGAATTACAAAATACAAGCTTACAGTCCTCTAATATGTAGTTTATAAATATGATTGCTAAGCTTAGATACAGATGGTCCTTGCTTTAAATTTATAGCCTTGTCCATAAGCTACAAGTGCATAGATTTTTTACTAATTAAAATTCTAAATTTTTACTAATTAAAATGTGTTAGATTACAGGACTAAGGAAAATTCTAAGAAAATTAATTAATTTAGTAAATACTCATTGAGTACTAAGTACGAAGTGTCTTGGAATATGTCAGTTTATCTAGTTACTGACCTGTACACCTAAATGACACCAGGTCCCTGCACTTGAGGAAGCTTAACAGTCCTATTTACTGCTCCAAGATTGTCTTTAAATTCTACTTTTATCATGTCACTCCTATGGTTAGAATTCTACTATTATATCATTTTGAAAGATAATGAAATAAATATAAATAATAGAAATACCTACTATGTTCCAGGCACTTTACATATATTTGCTCATTTAAACCTCAAACCTATCCTGTGAGGTAGGTATGACTTGTATTCCCATTTTTATTTGCATACAGCCGTAAAGTAGCTTGCCATAATTGCACAGCTAGTTAAGTGGCAGTACCTACATTTGAAAGATCTCTAAAAATCACTTTTAGCTTAGATAATCAGGATACATTTCATACAGGAGATGGGATAGTTAAAGATAATACTAACGGAGAAATTTCCCATTTGTGTGAGTACCTGTGTAATTCTTACAGACCACATATTTGTGAATTTTAAAGCTCAAAATTTTCTGCTTGAATCTACTTTGTTTTAGCCACACCCTTATTTATATATCAGTGAGTATCTCCACATCTTAGATGAATGCAGAATTAGAGTGCTTCTAGGAGAAAATAACATAAATTAGCTGTCTTGGAATATGTCAGGTTATCTAGTTATTCACCCATACACCTAAATGACACCAGGACACTGCACTTGAGGAAGCTTAACAGTCCTACTTACTGCTCCAAGATTGTCTTTAAATGCTGCTTTTATCATGTCACTCCTGTGGTTAGAATTCTACAGAAGATACCGTCGTTCACCATATTAAGTACAAATTCTATATCTTAACCACCTATTTTAACTCATCTTGCTTAGCATCCCTTTCTGATTATGTTTTCATCCTCCAGCTTGGGTCTTCCTGAAGTTGTAACCTCTTTCATAAAGTAATAGTCAACCACTATAGTCCACAATGATTGGAACATGTCTGAACTTACTGCTTTGAAAATCAGCTTCATCTAGTATAGTACTTAGTTTATTTTCTGATTCAAGTTTATTAATTCTGTCTTACCAGTTAGGCTGTAACTCCTTGATATTGAACTATTTTTATATACCTACTCCTCATTTATCAACTCTTTCGTTATCCAACGTTTCACATTTATGATAATGGTAAAGAAAAAAGAAAAAACCTAGCCAAACATTTTGCACATAAATGACCTGTGTCAGGCAGTAACAGTTACTGAGTTATGGGGCAAGAGTAATGCTGGCTATGAAGGTTAAGGTTACGTGACACCTTGACTTGGCCATGATTCTCAGTGGTTAGGCAGTTATGTCATGATGTAATTTGGCAATAATGTAATGATGTAGTCATCCTCTATTTTGTGATCTGAGGTGGTGATCCTATTTTGGCATAACACCTATTTTCGCATACTGGCCTGGTCTTTGGAACCTAACTATGTCAATAAGGGTACCAAAAACAGACCCAAAGACAAAGATACAAGTGCAGACCATTTGAGGGGTGTAGATTCTAGAAAACGAGTGATAGCATCAGGAATATAAAATGCAAGAGGGAACAAAATCAATGAAGAGTTCATGAATAAACTTGTTCCCACAGTAGGCAACTGGGTCTTAATCCCATAGGGACCACTGAGGAAGAGTGTGGAACACACCTCAGGATTGACTCATTTGAAGATGATAGGTGGACACTTACACACCAACTGCTATCCTATTTTCATTGTGGATTGCCCTCAAGAATATAAACTCTCCACACTTTGAAGAAGTACCTGTGCATAGCTGAGCACCTTCTGTATGTAGCTTTAGAGAAAACAGAACAGCAGGACCCTGCAGTGTACACTTAATATGAGGCATGGGAGTGTCCACCATACCTGTATTGAAATCAGGTTGGCCACAGGATACAGTACAATGCACCACACACATCTGTACTGTGATAAAAAAAAGAGTCGGGCTCTGCAGTCAAGCAAACCATTATTCAAATCTTGGGTCTACCAAGTTACTACTTAACCTGTCTGAGCCTTAGTTTCTCCTTCAGTAATGTGAGAATTCCAATACATTTCCCAAACAGTTCTTAGAAGGAAAATGCCTGACCCATACTAGATGTTCCATAAATGTTGGTTCATTTCTAATAGGCAATTAGATAAAAGTATCAAAATTATTCATTTCATTTCATAATTATTTATATGAATGGATCTTTAAATTGTTATTTAAGCAATATAAGAGATACACTATTACCTGACATGTATTTTCTTTAATAGGTTACCCAGGAGATTTCAGATGAAACAAGAGTTTTCCGCTTGTTAGGATCAGACAGGTAATAGTTCAGTTGTTTTATGGTAATTACCAAAAGTATTCAAAGGTTATATGGTTAAGTATGCTGTCAACTTGTGACTGTGTTTCAAACAAAACTCTGACAGGACTGAGCAACATAGATGAATTTCTCAGTCTCTTTATTGAGAATGAATAATACTTTAATTCATCAATCAATTCTTTGGTCAATGTGAGATCAGGATTCTAGAGACAGTTACAGTCAACCAAGACAAAAGTGTTGATACAGGTGTTTATAGACATATTTCAGTCTCCTCTGTTTTCATCATTTCTTCCTGCTACGTTACTTTCTGTTAACTGTTACTGTATAAATCCAACAGAAGATGCACTTCCTGACATTTGCTTTATATCAGAAAATGTTCAACTCTTGTTTCTGATGTCAGTAAAAATGAGAAAAAATTATATAGTTTCTTTGTGTTCAAAATGAAAGACAAGTTACTTTATGAATGAAGAAAAAAAAAAAAAAAAAAGCTTCCCCCAAATCTATATCATCAACCTCTATAACTAATGATAAACCCCTGGTGGTACAGTGATAAAGTACTCAGCTGCTAAACAAAAAGCTGGTGGTTTGAACCCACCAGCTACTCTATGTGAGAAAGATGTGGTGGTATGCTTCCATAAAGATTGACAGCTTTGGAAATCCTATGGGGCTGTTCTGCTCTGTCCTATAGGGTTATCATGGGTTAGAGTTGATTCAACAGCAGTAGGTTTGGTTTAGGTTGTTTTTATATATGCGTAACTAAAGTAAAGAGCCCTGGTGGTACACATGATTACGCATTCAGCTGATAACCTAAAAGTTGGCGATTCAAACCTACCTAGTGGCTCTGAGGGAGAAAGACCTCTGGTGATCTACTCCTATAAAGATTACAGCCCAGAAAACCTAATTGATGGGGCAGTTCCGCTCTGTCACATGGGGTCACTATGAGTCAAAATTGACTTGATGGCACCTAATAAGAATAATGACTAATAAATTACCCATTTCTTCCTGTTTTCCTATCAAATGTTGTTACTACAGCAAAATTGGCTAGAGTAGTATTCATAGTGCTGAGGCAAGGATTAAGAACCTCTGGTCTTCAAGTTCAGTTGAGTCACAAAATCATTACTTAAATGTAGACTCTGGAGGAAAGGTGAGGGAAAAAGTGGAGGTATGACTCCATAAAAATTTTAGAGAGACTTTTGTAAGGAGAACAAGGATTGTTTTTTAAATGACGACTACCTTAGTAGAAAAGGGTATGACAAGTTAGTAACTGGAGTCGATTTAAAAAAGAAGGGTGCGGGTGCGATTTGAGACTACCTCGTAAAGGACTCTAGAGTTAGAATGAAGAACTAAAGTTCTTTGCTTTTGCAGGAAGGGCTGACAAAAGAATTGTGTCCAATGATCCTGATGTAATTCGCACATTAATGAGACACAGTATGAGAGAATTCTGCTTAGTTGAGAGTGAGTTGGTAGTTATCAGAAGCCATTTCTCTGTCACTTGTTTTACTCTGCTCCCTCTCCCCAGAATTTTCTCCTCCTTCCTTGCTTTTCTATATTGTCTTGCCATTCTCTGTCATTGTTTGCCCTGAAAAATGAAACTATGGCCCTGTTCTGGTTGTCTTCTTTTTGGGGCATCTCCTTGATTTTGAGATATATATCTTAACCAAGGGAGCTCTGGTGGCATAGTGCCTAAGGCATCTGACTGCTAACCAGAAGGCCGGCGGTTCAAACTCATCAGCCACTCCTCAGAAGGAAGGTTGGGTGATCTACTTCCGTAGTGATACCGCCTTGGAAACCCAAGGAGGGGTTGCTATGAGTCAGATCTGACTTGAAGGCATTGGGTATCTTAACTAAATTATTTGATTTATTTTAATTTTAAAAGTGGTTAAATAATTGTTTTGATGTTTAAATATAGAAATTTCACTTAGAAAAAATACTAAATATGGCAAAATACTAACTGGCTAAGGAGCTCCAGTGGCACAGTGGTTAAGTGCTCGACTGTTAACCTAAAAGTCAGCAGTTCAGACCCAATAGAAGGTCCTGGGGAGAAAAGAACAAAGACTTGGAGATCTGCTCCCATAAGGATTACAGGCTAGAAAACCATATGGGGCAGTTCTCCTGTGTCCTATAGGGTCACTATGACTCAGAATCAACAGACACAACAACAACAACCCTGGTTGATTGGATTATAGATATTTTGATTTTACCCTTTTTTCTGTAATGCATAATGTAAAGTATATAATACTTCTTTATTATTTCCATTACAGAAGGAATACATGCTAGTTGTAGAAAATTCATAAAGTATATATGCTATTTTCCTCCCACTGCCCTCCCATACTTTCTCTGCATGCATATATTATTTACTATTTTGTTCCTAAACTTCTCCCCCTGACAGTTTAAATGCTGTGATGTGGCACTTATTGATAGTTTTTTCTTCTTATCAATCATTTGGACTCTTTCCTTGCCCTTGTTCCAGGGACAAGGGAGAGGATCCCTATTTGATCATTTTTTTTTTTTGTTAACTATTTATTTTCAAATACCTTGAAATGGATGGTTGGGTGGATAGATGGATGGGTATCTCTTGTTGTTGTTAGGTGCTGTCAAGTAGATTCCAACTCATAGTGACCCCATGTACAACAGAATGAAATACTACCTGGTCTTGTGCCATCCTCATAATCTTTGCTATGCTTAAACCCGTCCACTGTGTCAATCCATCTCATTAAGGGTCTTCCCTTTTTCAATGACCCTCTACTTTACCAAGCATGATATCCTCCAGGGACTGGTCCCTTCTGATAACATGATCAAAGTACAAGAGAGAAAATCTAGCCATTTTCACTTCTAAGGAGCATTCTGGCTATACTTCTTCCCAGACAGATTTGTTTATTCTTCTGGCAGTCCATGGTATATTCAGTATTCTTCATCAGCACAATTCAAATGCATCAGTTCTTCTGTGGTCTTCCTTACTGATTGTCCAGCGATCACGTGCATATGAGGCAATTGAAAATACCATGGCTTGAGTCAGGTGCACCTTAGTCTTCAAAGTGACGTCTTTGCTTTTAAACACTTTAAAGAGGTCTTTTGCAGCATATTTGCCCATTCCAATACATGTATCTTAGAGTCCTGTTTTATTCCCTCAGCCCATATTCTACCCCCTTCCTCTTAGTGTAAATGCCTAAAGCATTATTATATCTTTTGTTGGCATATGTGAGTGACCAAATACTTTTGTGTCATAGCTGGAATGAAGTAATCAGACTGACCTGAAATGTTCATAAATTCAGTAATTCTTAATCAGTTGTGTTTTTAAGCTATAAGATGTAAAGCTGAATTTGACTATATATCTATGATCCTTATTTAATCTTATAAGACTGTTATCAATTATATTCTTTCCTTATTTGATGTTAGTATTTAAAGCATGCAATTTCTGTTTTTACTCTTAAACATACCTTTTCTTTTGGTTTAATTGCAGGGTTGTCGTTTTGGAAAGTAGACCAACAGAAAATCCTACTGCACACAGCAATCTCTACATCTTGGCTGGACATGAAAATAGTTACTGAGCAACCGAAACTGATCTCAAATAACAGGAAATGAATATATTCCATATGAAAGCAAAATATTTTAAGGAAATTTAGTACAAACTGCACTGTGGTTTACTTTAACTGTTATGGGTTATCTCAATGATCTATACTTGGGTAGAAGTCAGTATTTTCTGTAGCTGGAAACAGCTATTCTATCTCTTGCCACTGTGTGGTGGTTATATCAAGTTTGCTTAATAAAAGCTATTAGATAAATAGTCCTCTCTTTAGTTCCAGGAAACACAGTCTTTTTAAATAATAATAATAATAATGTTTATAACAAGGGTGCCATACTTTTAGATAACTCATGATTATCTTCAGACAGATAAATTGAGGAACAGTTTTCTCATTTTATATGATATCCTATTCCTTCTTACTGAACATAATTTCATAAAGAAATTATCAAACAAGGCTTTCATTTTTACATTGGCCATTCTGTATGTTTTTGTAAGATAGGGTATTTAATCCTTATTTATTAATCTCTTGCTGGAGTGGTGTATTGTATCTAACTTTTAGCAAATGAGGGTTGCAGAGCAGCTTAAATTTTTTTATAATGTATAAAAAGTTTGTTAACCTTTTAGGAGTAGTACTTCAAGGGGTTAAGGACATTGTGCTTGGGGGTTCAATACACACATGCAATTTTGTTTAAGAAAAGTATTTTATAATGTAATTTCATGCAGAATTGCCTTAAAAGGGATTTCATGTTTTCAACTACACATAGTTGGAGGGGTTCATACAGAAGATACTGATGATGGTTTAAATACTGGAAAGGGTGTATATATATCTAAGGGTGACTACATTGTATATGTACTTTTGACAAGCAGAATAATATACCTGTGATTTTTTATTTTACATTAGGGATAATGCATAAGAAATTAATTTTCATATATCTTGTCATCCCTAATGGAGGAGAAAAAAGTATTTAACTGTCCATGATATGTATTTGACTTATACTCTACCAGAGGGGATAGTTGTAAAAACAGCTACACATGTAATCATGGGGTTTTCACGTATTATATTCATTTTGAGTAGGTTTAAGAAAAATATATATCTTTAAATGAAATTGAATTCCTGAAGGGATAATATAATTAAGTATTATAAAAACCAGTATTTGAAAAATAGGATAGGGCCATTTTGAGGTTTGTTTTTCTTATGCTATTGTTAGTATTTAAAATTCAGTGTAACATTGGTATCTGCTGTCTCAGTGAGTTTATTGAGTATAGTGAGCATTGAAATGATGAACAAAGGATTAGCAATAGCAGTCTACAGATTTATTCTGACCAGTTACTTCAGAGGAAAACATTCAGTCTTTAGCAGTTCTGTAAAATAGGTATTATCATCATGTCCTTTTTTCAGAAGTAAGAGTTTTGCCCAGTTTAACCCAATTCATACAGCAAGTTAGTGGTTGAGCCAGATCTTGAGTCTTCTGACTCTGTTCACTATGCAATATGCAAACAATAAAATGTTGTACAAATACAGTATTAAGTACTTGTCCTTAAAAATGCACATATGACTTTAGTAAGTGTGTGGCTGTTTATTTTGGGTATGTTAAATGGGGTCTCTCGTTTGAGCAAAAGGAGTTCTGGTGGCACAGTGCCCAAGACATTTGACTGCTAACCAGAATGTTGGCGGTTCAAACCCATCAGCTGCTCTCTGGAAAAAAGATGGGGCAATCTACTCCTGTAAAGATTTACTTCCTCAGAAACCCAGTGGGGTTGCTAGGATTTGTAATCAACTTAGTGACAGTGAGTTTGGTTTTGGTTTGGATTGGGGGACACTGGATACAATAGATAGCAGGGGGCTGTACTCAGTACAGGGAATATTTACATACTGAATACAAACACCAACAGCCTCCTTCTCTCAATGAATCCTGGCAGCCAGATCTTCATGTTCCTACAAGAATATTGAAAGGCTCTTCTCTGTGAAATCTGATGAATACAAATGGAAAAACCTAAGATCCTTATGTCAGAGGTGTCCTAGCTAAATGGCCCAGCTAGGTCACTCTACAGTGAAAGTCACAGTCAATATGCCCACTACCCTGTATGTCCAGAGCTTACAGTCAATCTCTTAAAAATGAGCAAAAGACCAAGAGTTATTAGACATCTGAGAAAGCCTCTAACATGAAAAAGAAAAAAGGAGTTAGAGGAAAGAGACTACACAGAGTAAAGAAAATATTTAAAAAAAAATAAAAGTTCACAATAATTTTGCAACCATGAATCAAAATAGTAAAAAAGCATTAAAAAATAAAAGTTCTTGAGGGGGGAAAATATGATAGCATAACTGAACATTTGATAGAAAGTATAGAATATAAAGTTGAGGAGATTTCTCAGAAAAAAGAAAGAAATGGAAATATGGGAGTGTTCTGGTTACCTAGTGCCACTCTGACAGGAATATACCACAAATGGAGTGGCTTTAACAAACAAGAGTTTATTCTTTCACAGTTTGGAGGCTTTAAGTCAGAGTTCAAAGTGCCAGGCTCTAGAGGCTGGGTGAAAGCCCCTCAACCTTGGGGTCTAGCTCCACCTCCTGCTCCCAGCCCACTGAAGCTAGAGGCTTTTTTTCACTCAGACAGCTGCTGGATGCTGAGACTGACAAGCCCAGAGTTGATAAGTAAAAAGGCACGGTCCTGATGTTACCAAACCATAAGGCAGGCCATTAACCTGAGTCCACTGAAAGTCCCAAGGTCGGCAGAGCATGGCAGGCTGCTGAACAACGACTGAGCTACATGCAGGGTTCAAGTGTGCCATAAGCTAGAGACTGTTTCCCAAAGCTTCTCCTTACATACGGGAAGCAGATCACATCCCTAAAGTAACTACTCAGCTGCTCACAGTAGATTCCATCATGGAGTTGAACACCAGTCTCATCATGGGGAATACTACATCCAGCTGCCCAGCCACTCAACCAGGCCCAGCCAAGTTAACACAGAAACGTAACTACCATAGAGAGGAAAAGTTAAGAAAATTAACAGCACAGGAGGCTCAATATCCAGTCTTTGAGAGTTCCAGAGAGAAAGAAAAAGCAGAGGAGGACATATCAAGAGTATTTCAAGAAATTTATCCAGAACTGAAAAACAGTGGATCCTAGATTGAAAGAACACAAAGAATATAATAGACCTATCTGTACAAAGTATACCATGAAATTTCAAGAACAGCAGGATCAAAGAGAAAATATCTGCAGTTTCCAGAGAAAGCGGGCAAGTCAGATACCAAGAAATAATAATCAGAATAGCTTCAAATTTCAACAGAAGCAATGCCTTCACAATTTTGAAGAATTATTTCCAACCTGTAATTCTCCATCCACCTATACTATTAAATAAATGTCAGGATAAAAGGCATAAACTAAAATGTGAAGCCTTAGGATACAGAAATTGGGATTCACACAGGAAAAAGATAAAGGAAATTCCCAGATGATGGTGGGATACTCAAGGATAACCATGACACCAGACATAAAAGAACATATGGAAGCATATCAGAAGCTCCTATAGAGACTTCTTCAGAAAGATTAGTAAAATACCTGATGCACCTCAGAATTTTAAGTTGGACAACTACCAAAGAGTGAAAGATTCTTTCTAAATTAGAGCCTGAGGCAAGAACATGGGTTCAGGTAGTTTATTTGCAAGACCTCAGAAAATAGGGACATCTGAGATAAGTCAATATAGAAGAACATTACCAAAATCATTGCTGTGTAGAAAGAGAAAGCTTGATTTCACCAGGTCATCTAGGAAGCTCTGTGATAACCTCAGATTTGTCTCTCGAAAGACAGGTGGCTAAGACCCTTTATCTACAGACTTCTTCCCCTCCCTCCAATTCATAGTTGCTGCCAGAGGTGTTATCTCCTGAACTACCAAGTTACAGCTTGCATTGAGACAAGTAGGCTCCTTCTGTGTCAAAGAAGGCCCTGAGGCAGAACACAAATAGTCTTAAGTCTGAGCTCACATTGAATCGTCCACTGCCTTTGTGGCTAAAATGAGAGGTGGACAAGAGTATGTTATTCAAGGCACATGGTTCAATCAGTGTAGTTACTGACTGATTCTAAGCATATACCTATCTAAGATTTAAATCTAATAGAACTAGTATCTCCATGGGAGCAGAATGTTAGGCAAAAAAAAAATAAGTTATGGCCAGTGGTTGACTGGCATGATAATGTTAAATATTTATCAAAATTGTAATCAAAATCCCAATTATATTGGAAGATGACGTCATGTTGTGGTGGTGAAGGAGAAACGTGACCTAAATCTTCATCTTCCCATAGTGGGAAATGATTGAGTAATACTTAATTTCTCCAGCCAGCATCCTGAAGAAGAAGAGAACTTGTCTAGTGGCAAGTGAATTACAAAGATCCAAGAAATCTCCCACACTAACCCTAGCAGAAGGGATTGTTCTAGATTTTACAAAGAATTTCAGACTGTTCCAAATAGATCTTAATTAGAAGGAAAACAAGAAACATTTGATAAGAATCTGCTGTGTTGACATCAAGAATGAGTCAAATATTCTCACTCTCACGACTTGTTATTTGTTGTACTGTTGGTTCTAACCAGTTCGGTAAATGAAGAAAACCAAAAAAAAAAAGGATTTGGAAAGGAATAAAACTGCCATATTTATTAGAAATTTATGTAGCAGTTAAAAGTGAATTTAGAAAAACAGCTAGATGTACTGTCAATATAAATAATTATGTATCCATATATGTGCAATAAACAA